AATAAATAATTGAATTAAGGAAGCAGTAAACAAAATTGAAACCAGAAAGCAATACAAATGATCAGCAAAACACACCATTGGCCCAACTAACAAAAAGATGAATCATAAGTAATTAATGCAAACAGATATAAGTGAACAAATTGGAAAATATAAAAGAAATGGATAGCTATCTAGAAACCATCTACCCAAATTGAGTCATGAAGACACAGAAAATCTAAATAGACTAATAACCAAAACAGAAACTGTATAACAGAGACCCTCCCAACAAAGAAAAGCCCAGGACCAGATGGCATGACTGCTAAATTCTACCAACATCCAAAGAACCAATCCTGATACTTTTAAAACTATGCAAAATAACTGAATGTAAGCAATCCTCCCAAATTCCTCCTACAAGGCCAATATCATCTTAATTTCAAAATCAGAAAAAGAGACAACAAATAGAACCATAGACCAGTAAACCTGATGAGTACAGATGCAAAAATCCTCAAAATGATGCTACCTAATCAAATTCAACAACAACTCAGACAAATCATTCACTGGACCAAGTGGAATTTAACCCAGATACACATGGATGGTTCAACATATGTAAACCAGCACACATGATACATAATAATGATCTCAATGGGTGAAGGGAAAGCATTTGATAAAATCCAACAGCTTCTTATGATAAAAACCTCAAGCAAGTGGGTATAGAAGGAATACTCTTCAACTATAATGAAAGCAATAAATGCAGAACACAGCCAGCATATTAAAATGGGAAAAATTTTGTATTTCCATTAACATCAAGAACCAAAGGTGTCTTTTTCAGTACTGCTATTCAATATGGTTCTGGAAGTGCTAGCCAGAATGATTATGTAGGAGAAAGAAGCCAAAAGGATACAAATTGGAAATGAGAGGTCAAATTATTCATGGTTGCAATTGGCATGATCCTATATACAGAGGAGCCAAAGGACTCCAATACAAAATAAATACACAAAATATCAATAGCCTTTGTATACACAAATAATGCTATTGCTTAGAAAGAAATTACAGGATCAGTACCATTTACAGTAGCTGCAAAAATCTTGAAACTTCCATGTTGATGAACTGAAAGAACTAATATCATCAAAATGCAAAATGCCCATATTATCGAATCTAGTATCAAAATGATCCCAATCAAAATACCAACATTATTCATAGATCTAGATAAAATGATGTTAAAATTCTTATGGAAACAGAAGAGACTGAAAGGCTACCACAATATTAAAGAAAAATAAAGTCAGAGGCACAGAATCAGATTTCAAGACATACTACCAGACAGTTATAATAAAAACAGCCTCATAATGGCACAAAAGTAGAAATGTAGACCAACGAAACAGAATTGAAACACAGAAATCAGTTCACACAGCTCCAATGAAGTAATCTTTGACAAATGAGATAAAATGAATCCCCGGAGAAAGAAAAGCCTCTTCAAAAAACGGTGCTGAAAAAATTAGATCTACACATGCAGAGATATGAAACAAGAACCCTACTGTACTCCTTATACAAAAATAAATTCTGAATGCATCAAGGACATAACTCTATAACCTAATACCACCAAATTACTAGAAGAAATCATCAGAGTCTGCAAGACTTTGGAATACATCAAGTCTTCTTGAAAAGGATCCTAGAAGCACAGTGAATGAAAGGAAGAATAGGCAGATGAGATTATATCAAACCAAGAAGCTTTTGTGCTACGAGGGAGACACTAAACAAACTGGCAATTATCGAATATTTAAAGGCAATAAATGCTGGTCATGACTTGGCAGGAAAGATACCATAATACTCTGATAATGGGAATGTAAACTAGTACAACCATTATAGATGAGAGCATAGACATTTCTAAGAAATCTGAAAATAGATCTACTCTATGACCTCGGCATCCCACTTATGAGAATTTATCTAAATGAAATGAAATCAGCAGATGAAAAAAGATTATCTGTATCCCCATTCTTACTGCAGTTCAAGTCATAATAGGTACTATGTGGAAATCAACCCAATAGATGACTGAATAAAGACAATGTAATTTATGTAGATGGACACTATGGAATACTACTCAGATATTTAAAACAAAACAAAACAAAACAAAACAAAACAAAACAAAACAAAACAAAACAAAACAAAACAAAACCGAAGTCCTGCGTTTTGCAACACAGGATGTTGAATGCAACTGGGAGCTTTATGCTTAGTGAAATTAGTCAGTTCCAACAAGACAACTGCTGTGTTTTCTCTGATATGTGACAGTTAATATAGAATTTAAAAAGTATAGTAATGACACAGTTCTCTTGTGATATGATTTTTGTTTTAGCTCTTTTTTATATTCCTGAGGAACTCTGGTCTTCCTTTTTAGTTGTTATGTTTTATGGCTAGTGATAAAATAATCCTGTGATTATACAGTGGACTGAAAACACATCTTTGCAAAAAACAAAGAGAAGAGAAGGATGGAGGGCCCAGCGCCGTGGCCTAGCATCTAAAGTCCTTGCCTTGAACGTGCTGGAATCCCATATGGGTGCCAGTTCTAATCCCGGCAGCTCCACTTCCCATCCAGCTCCCTGCTTGTGGCCTGGGAAAGCAGTGGAGGACAGCCCAAAGCCTTGGGTCTCTGCACCCGTGTGGGAGACCTGGAAGAAGCTCCTGGATCCTGGCTTTGGATCAGTGTAGCACTGGCCGAGGGAGTGAACCATCGGACGGAAGATCTTCCTCTCTCTTTCTTCCTCTCTTTATAACTGACTTTGCAATAAAAATAAATAAATCTTTAAAAAAAAAAGAAAAGAAAAGAAGGAGGGGGAAATTGAGAAGAGGAGAGAGAGAGAGAAAGAAACATGATTATCTTAGAAGTGTATCTGTGAAATACATGAAATTTGTTCTTATCAAAAATATATGAAAAATCAATTCTCTTACAAAAGGTTACAATGTGAAAAATACAAACAGCAAACTGACAGACATCCCTCCATCCTAGTAATAACATTAAATGTAAATGGATTAAATTCTTCCAGTCAAAATACAAAGAATGGCAAGATGTATAAAACATGGCCTAATTATATCCAGTCTACAAGGTACTCACTTTAGATCCAAACAGATGCACTCAAAATGAGAGGATGTGATGCAACATGCAACAGACGAAGAAATAAATGACCACACAAATGTTAAACAAATTAGAGTTTTAGTCAAAATATATTATAATTAATGAACACAGATATTATTGAAGAAACTCACAGAAACATATATTACAAACTACTATGTATGGATTTAAAATTTTTATGCTAAACTTTAAAAATTTCATTTTCATATGCTTTCTGAATTACTACCATTTTTTAGTAAAATATGCAATTTAGCAAGAAGATGTAACTGTATTGAACCTAACAAGGGACCCCCAAATGATGAGGCAAAACGCGACAGAACTGAAATAAGAAAAAACTCAACAACAGTTGGAGACTTTGATACCTTACTCTCAATAAGGAACAAACAGATACAGAAGCAGAACCAGAAAGACTTCATATATTAAACAAACTGTATCTAACAGATACATACAGAACACTATCTAACCATAGCACACACACTCTTCTCCAGTACACAGTGTTTTCCAAGGTAGAGCACAGGTTAGGTCACAAACTAGTACCCAGAATATCCAAACCACGCTATCTCGGCTGTATCTTAAAGGACTCCTATATGCCAATGTCGAAACTTACTAGAAACTATAGTAATTAAAACAGCGTGACACTTGCGTAAAGGCAAAGCTATAGACCAATGAAAAAGGGATCTCAGAGATAACCCTTTAAATAAAAAAAATCAATTGATTTTTACTTAAGAATGTCAAAAACAGTTGACTGGGAAAACACAATTTTTTCAACAAATCATGCTAGGAAAACTAGATATCCACATGAAAAAGAATTAAATTAGACGCTTACCTAATGCCATATGTAAAAATTAATTCAAAATGGATCAGAGATCCTACATGTAGGATCTAAACCTGTACAACTCTTAGAGAAATACACATGAATGATCTCCACGTTCTTTGTTCCGGCAGTGATCCTTGGAAATCAAAGGCATAGGCAATTAAAACAAACAAACAAAAAGACCCAGAAAAATTAGGCTTCATAAAAAATTTTAAGAAATATGAGTCCAAATATAATATCATGGAGTAAAAACATGTTTGACAGTATTTGCAAATAATACATATGAGGAGATTAATATCCAGCAAGTATAGAACGCTTAAAATTCATCAACAAAAATATTTAAAAAACTAGCATAAATATGCTTGGTGTGATTCATTAATAAACTATGAGACTTACACTTTTTACTCTAGTTCTGGTAAAACACTCAAAATACGATTACTGATCAGAGGTGTCACCGTGGCCCTGAAATAATTTGTACTGAGTATACAGTACAGTCTGCTGATACAGAAGACTGCCATAGTCACCAGCGGGACTTGAGGAAGAAGGTCACAGTGGGTGTCTGCTCCAGCTCCACTGCTACCAGCTGTGTGCCTTAGAAAAAAACACTTATGCTGCATGAGCCTCAATTTCCCTTCCCAGAAAATGCTGATTAAAATATTTACATTATCAGGGAGAGTAAACTAACCAAGCACATAGTATAGATTTTGATGGTACTTATTCTTTGATGCTACTTTGAGGCAATTACTTATTTCTAGAAAGGAAAATTTTACCTTCATCTTAAACACAACACCTATGATGACCTAATCTTCTATATTCAATCTCTTTTCAGTTGTACCAGACTGTAGAACACTGGTTCTAGAATTCTGTAGCTGTGATTGGATTTAACTTTGTAACTGGCAAAAAAAAAAAAAAATGTGTAGTCCTGATAAATTAAGAAATATTCCCTCTTGGCAAATAAGTTTTAACCTCAAACAAGCTCACACATGTTTAGTTCCAAAAGCAACACTAGATGTCATGGCTTTTACCAACTACTGATGAATCACAAAGCTGACAGGGATACTCTTTGAACCGCATCCTCTAACTTACCTGACCTCAGTGAGCTCCCCCCATTCATGGCAGCCTCCAGGGCTCGGTTCTGTAGCAAAGCCCCCACAGCACTGGTAAGAGTTGGTTCCTTTTTGGGACCCATCTGAATCTTACCCTACAGAGAGAGACAGAGTACACAGTCCTGTAACTTCAGGTACTACAGAAAGTGAGTTTCCATTCAACCAGCACGGGACTAGTTGCTGCCCCTTGGGGAGCCCATTTCCCTCATCTTTGCTGATATTCTAAGAACTTCATCTGCTTGGGGACAGTTGCTTCTATAATAAATCTGTGCAGTTGTTTTAGTCTATAGAATTACTAATACAGATATAAGAAATCACTTAATAAGAATATGGTTTTAGGGCATTTTACTTCTTTCATTACACTTGAAGATGATTTTGTTTCCTCACACCAACAGAGAAGAAAAGCAGAGATTGACAGGCCACAGATTTTTCGAACACGTAATTTCCACACCTGCAGGCCATCTCAACCCCTATGGGGAAGCAGCAGAAGAGTCATAGTAAAACAAAGTAGGGACCGAAAGATTTGTGACAGGCTCCTTTTCACTTTGCTACTGACTCCACCTGCCATTCCATATAAAGTGCAGTACCAAGACACGTGTGGAGAACACTTGGCTTGGGCAAGGACGGCTCCAATGGTAGCAGGCAGCTCATCTTCACTCAAAGAAAGCTATTTTCAGAGGATCCATAGTTGATCTCTTTTGGTTAGGGTATGGCACATTTTTCAAAGTCATTTTGTTGAAAATAGAAGCACCTTTCAGCTTCATAGTTAAGAGCTCATCCAAACAAGAAAAAAAAACAACCCCTCCCTTCTTATTTCATTTCTGAAAATGCCTTACTATTAGGCAAGGTCAGAAAGTGGTGAAGCTGGCACAGATGAAGCAAACAAACGCTGTTTAGACATATTCTATAGTGAGAATGTTCCCAATCACCACTTAGTCCTAGAAAACAAGGAGAGGAACAGGGCCACACTTGGGACAGCCTGCTGGCCTTCCTCAGGAATAAAAAACACTCCCATTTGCTGCTTGCCAGTGCTCTCTTGGGCCCAACTGCCAGCTAACTTCGAGAAGAACCTACTGCAGAAATGCAACTCACCCTGCACCACTCTTACAGAGTGTTCAGAGACTAATGTGGGTTTTTTTCAAACCTTTCCAAAATTAAGTTGAGCTGAAGACCAAAGTAGTCACATCCTTTCAAAATTGATGTGCTATTGTTTCCAGGAAGAAAGAACTACTGGAGAATGGGAGGGGTAGGGTAATGTGAAGAAAGGACAGAGGAACCTTCTGTACCAGGCACTCAACTTATATTATCAACAATGCTTCCAACTCTTCACTTAGGTACATGTGATTAACATCAGTTTATAGGTACCTTGCTCAGGTTTGCATACAAATAATTAAAGGGTTGAAGTTCAAACCCTGACTCCTTATTGCACCATCCTTGCTCTTCCCACTTTGTAATTCTTCCCTTTGCCATCTCATCAATAAAAAAAACTCTTAAACCATATTTATCATCATCCCTATACCCAGCACACACAACTGCCCCTGTTCAGGCCCCTTTATCCAGATTAATAGTACACATTGAATATTTCTACTTCAAAACCTGAAGCACTTTGAATGTTGACATCATATTTCAGCTGGAAAGATCCACACCAGCCGTCACGTGAAGGGCTGTAGCTAAAAGGTGGGTGCATCAAGAATAGTCTGTAAAATCATCATCAGGCTACATGAGTATGGTCTGTTTGAAACAAAGATAAATTTCATGTTTCCTAGTACATTCCACTATCTGAAAAAAAATCTTGGTCCCAAGCAATTCAGATAAGGAATAATCAATTTACATTATGTTATTTAAGCTCTAATCTTATTTTACCCCACAGCCAGTCATTTTCTCAGCCTCATCAGTTCTCTTTTAAATATTCCCTCTCCTTGGGGGCAGACAAGACTGGGCAGGACTACAACACCTGTGGGCCTCATGTGAGCCAGATCAAGCAAAAGCCAGGCTCGGTTGACTGCCCCTACTGGTGCAAACATAAAGCAGAATGGGTGAGGCTTTATTGGGTTTTGCCACAGCATCAGGCAGCAGATGGTGGAACCAGTGGCTAATTTGTCAAATTAAACTACAGAACCATCTGCAAAGTGCATGACCCAATAGTGGGAGAGGCCTAGGAGGGAAATAGTGGGCACCTCCCTCTTGGGGTACCACTCCCATTGCAGAGCATGAAAACTAGGACTGGGGCAGTGGTGGCTGGACAGAATGGCATCCACCAGTATGTGTTGGGGCTGGATAGTGGAGCTGGTTGGGTTGAACTAGGCTTCAATGCCCATTGACATAAATGAGAGTTGAATGGGATGTGGGACAGACTGGACTAGTCTGCTGTACATACTGGCAAGCATGGGAACTAGGCAGGGGGCAGACCTAGTGGGGGTTACTGCATATCGTTCCGCCTAGGCTGCAGCTCCCACTGGTTTATGTGAGGGTCGATTGTGTGCTGGGCAGAGTCAGGCTGGAGTGCAACAGCCATTGGTTCTAGTAGAAGACAGGGCTGGAAACAGAACCAACTCAGCAATTGCAACTACCAGCTGATTGGGGTGATGAACTGTACCGGGCCCTGTACTTGCAAGTACACACAAGAATCTGGTCTGGGATCACCTCAGACAAAGTTTCTTTGGGGATCTCCCCAATCAAATTGCCAGACTCAGACTCCCAACCATGAAAAGAAGTGCAGGTTCCATGGTCTGCCATGGAGTGCAAATGCCAGAGCCAAGCCTCCTCAGGGGCTCAGATGGAGCAGTAGACAACACAATCAGGTGTGCACGGAGGATGTGGCAGTCTATTGGAACCTGCAGAAGATACTTGGCACCACAACAGAGGACAGAACTAATCAGTCAACCACCCTAGCCATGCGTTGGCAGTGAAACACTGGACAAACGGAGACTCTAAAATGGACTATGTCAACCAGTGGATTCTGCAGTGACTTCATCGTGCTTGGAATGGCAAGATTTGGCAACAATTCATAACTGTTGAGCTAACTAAACTTGAGCAGGACTCTCGGAGCATGCCCCACGTTGGGGACCTGGGATGGGTGCGAGGCTGGTTGGGGCTTCTCCCTTTATCTCCCCATTTACCCCAGATACAGAAAAAAAAGAGAATGTGGAAATAATAATCTTACCCACTTTCCTGTAGCCCTTGAACCCTTGTGCCCTAATTAACCATGTAAAGATTTCAAAAATAAAGAAAAAAAAATACTCCCTCTCCCACAAGTCAGATTTGTTCTCTTATTTCTGGTCCCCATTCTTCTGTTGCTGTCACTCCTGTCTGGCTCCCCATGAACTCGTTTCGAACAATAATTGTAAGAATAAGCTTTCTAATAAGCTAACTTGATGTCACTTGGATCTCCAGTGTTTAACACTTCTATACTGTCCAAGGAATGGCATGGGGTCAGGTACAGGCAATTGTACACGAAAACCAAGAAAGCCAAAGTACTGCTGGCAACGAAAATCTGGCAGGAGGAAGAGATAGTACATCCATGTTGGACGGAGGACTGCCAGCCTCCCTGGACTTTCCAGTCCTTGCTCACAGGCACATGCCCTGGCAGTGCTCAGATTTCTCACATTCATCCAATCAATTTCCCTTTGCTCCTCTCCATATTGGCTTGGATTAAAGTCCTTCTGGATGTGGGGCCCACTTTATCTGTGCCATCCTGATATTCTCATATGGGCTTTCCCTGCTTTAGCTCCAAAGGTGGACACCTCAGGCTACAAGCTGGGCATTCTGTGCCTAAGTCCTTCCTGAAGTCAGCTGTAATCTACAAAGTTTAATATTTAAGGAAAGAAATATATGAAACCTTGGAAGACTTGTTGGAATCACATAGGCTTCTTCTAGGATCTTCTTATACATCACTTTTATACTATTTTTTTCCAAGTCAACCCTCTTTCTTTGAATGATGAATCCTTGATCAACTTGTACCTGGCACGGCCTCATGTACACAGCAGACATTCTGTAAATTTCTAACTAATGTAGAGGCAGAACTTGGAATCTGCCGTCTGGAGGATGTGTTGTTGTTGGAAAGAGTCCCACAACCACTAGAATCTAGAGATAACAGAGTTCTCTAACCCTATGTATGCTCGTTAAGGAGGCACAATGATTTGATCTTTTAGTCTGAGATGTGTTTATGCAATTAGCAGGTTATCTGCCATACTGCAAGCAATGTTCCTGGGACTGCTAATACTGTTTGCAGTTTCCACTTTGCGTTGATGAAACTGTTGTCCTCCAGCTCAGGTGGCTGCATCACCTATTTGTGACATCTGTTTCTATTCACTCACATCCTTTAACTTGCTGACTGTGTAGCTTTCAAACCTGATGACTGCACCTCTCCTCAACAAAACACACTGCCTGTAGGGCACTTTCCTTGACTTTCACTGCAGATTTGTGATTCTGCTCTGGGTAATAAAGGGTGACATCCATCACTGGATAAAGAGTTTCTTCATAATGCTTCAAAAACATTATCTTTATATTCATATCTTCATCCTAGCATGCTTCAGTTCAGACTTTTTGTGTGTGTAAAAATATTAGCTGGAAACCAGTCCCCTCCAAGCAGCCAATTCCCTGGATCAGTTCTTTTTGCCTTATGCTTCTTTGTAAATAATTGAGGTTCCTTAGCAAGTTCTACCTGCCCACTCCAAGCATGCAAGCACACAAGCGCCAATACCCGGGGAGACAAAGTTACCTGAGCTCTGGATGCCAGTTTGGCTGCTGTCTGGGCAGGATCAAAGACTCGGCGAGAAGACTGATCTTTGCAGAAATTAATATGTCGTTGGGCTGCAGTTTCGTTAAACCTCCTCATGCAGTAGGGGCATTGAATATAGTCTGCATGTAAAGATAACAACAAATCTCTATCAGTATTTCAACAACCACCACAGAATGGACTGTGTGAAGTGGAATTAGAAGAATATGAGTTGTGCTTGGACATAAATGACATGATCCCAAACTCGGGTTGGAGGCTGTCTATTTCAGAGGAGGAAGTTTGGAAAGGCTGAAATCAAGGGGAAATTTTTACCACCTGTGCATTCATTTCAAGTAAAAATGTGCTCCCAAAATGTTTACATATATTTTAGAAACTAAGTTAATTATGCTTAAGAACTTCCTAATTAAATGGATTGTTAAGTGAATCCTTGTGTATGGAAAGTAGTGCTGGACTTGCAGAGTGTTAGCGCAAATGGTATGGGAGGGCAGAGACGATTCAAAAGTCCAGGATGGGAAACTAGGGGTGACAGTCGGCCATGCACACATAAGCAGGCTACAGAGAGGAGGTGAGATTTCCTTTCAAAAGGTAGGTTTATGTGCTGGGATTGGAAGCTTCGTGTCCCCAGCAAAAAGCAGAAAATAGCATACTGCTTCTCCAATGGCTAGATTTTTCTTTATTTAACTACATAGAAATGAGGCAAGTAATATGATGGGAACATCAAATTTATAGTATGTATGTATATATTAGCAAATTCTGTGGGTGAACTTCTAAATTTTTTGCACCAAAAATTTAAAAAAATATTTTAATTTCATTTCCATATACTTTTTGGAGTCTTTACCTCCACCCCAAACACACACACACACACACACACACACACACACACACACACACACACACACACACACACACACACACACACACACACACACACACATATATTCAGGAAGGAAACAGGGAAAGAATAAAAAAGGCAGAGTTGAAAAAAATGGGAAAGGAAATGGGCGGAAATAGGAGTGACCCAGGTGCAGGTTCAGCTTGCAGCTGTGAGCGCACCAGTCTGTGAGTGCTATGTCCGTGGTGCACCTGAAAATGCACTTATGGGGTTTTTGTTTTGTTTTGTTTTGTTTTTGTCAAATTTTTCTCTCATTTGCAGTTACCAAGTGTAATTGGCTACTGAGAGAAATGGACAGTGGGAAAGATGCAAAATCCTGTTAGAACTTGTAACTGCAGGCCCAGCACGGTGTTCAAGCAGCTAAAGTCCTCACCTTGAATGTGCCGGAATCCCATATAGGCGCAGGTTCTAATCCCAGCCGCCCCACATCCCATCCCTCTCCCTGCGTGGCCTGGGAAAGCAGTGGAGGACAGCCCAAAGTCTTGGGACTCTGCACCCGTGTGGGAGACCTGGAAGAAGTTCCTGGAGCCTGGCTTTGGGTCGGCGTAGCACCAGCCATTGCAGCCACTTGGGGAGTGAATCAGTGGAAGGAAAATCTTCCTCTCTGCCTCTGCTTCTCTCTGTATATAATTTTGTGATAAAAATAAATCTTAAAAAGAAAAAGAACTTGTAGCTGCTACAGCAAAGCTGGGGGTTGGGGGGCTTAAGGCCTAGTCTCCAGCAGGGATTGCAATGACTGTCTCAGTTACCTTGCAGAAAAACCAAGGGAATATGAGTGACATTAGCTGAGTAACATTCCCCTTAAAAGGGTCTGAGACAAAGCTCAGTATGAATGTTGGGATTACTATAAAGCCAAAATTCTTACATATGTAGATATTTAATGTAATGGTATTCTCTACACTGATCTCTTTCTTTCCCTGTTTGAACAAACTGGATCTTAAGATGACTAGCCACAAAATTATATGAATGAGTAGCGATGAGGCAGGGATGTAGTGTTGTGAAGAAACAATTGCTTGGGAAGATCACATCCCATATCTGAGTCCTGGCTATGCTGATTCTAATCTAGCTTCCTGCTGGTACAGATGACAGCTCAAGCCGTTGACTCCCTGCTACCCAGGAAGGAGACCCAGACTGAGTTCTGGTCCCCTGGCTTCAGAGTGTCCCAGCCCTTAGCTGTTGCAGTCATTTGGGGGAGTGAGCCAGTAGGATAAGTTTTCTGGTGATAGGCCTCTTTGCTCTCTCTTCTCTTTTCCTTTTAAATAAAATTAAAATAGAATTTTCTTTTAAAAGTTAGTGCTTAGAAATTCTCTAATAGCCTTAACCTTTATTTTTCATTCTGGAAAACAGTAGCATCATTACGTTGATACTTACTGAGTCCTTAATATACGCCAGGCACTGGTATATTCTTTGGAATGCAATATCTCCACAATCTAATACAAATTTCACATGGTGATAAATACCCAAAAAGATTTCAAAAAGAAAAATAGGCCAGCACTGGGACAGGATGAACAGCGCAGGTGTGGGAACCTGTCTGACTGGTTTTGAACCCCCAATTCCCCATTTGTTCTGTGTATGAACTTGGGCAAGTTACTCAACCTCTCTGGGTTTCCATTTCCTCTGTACTTATATATCACTTGTAAATTGGATTGTGCAAGTTAACTAAGATAATTCACGCCAGGGTTTGGCATCGTGGATGGGAAAGAACATACTGAGTGTTTATAAATGCTAGCTATTGCTATTAGGTATCACATTTAGCAGGACTGTGTTTCCAGCTACCAGCCAGGAGTGAAGCTGCTCAGAGAAAAATTTTGCCACTATCATTTAGATTTCTTTATGCTTGTGGTAGAACACTTCTAAAACTTGGCTATTAGCCGACAGGTGATATCTTCAGCTTACTTGCTAGAGAGCTGAGTTTCACATTAGAAATGCTACCAACCCTATTCAGGTCAGGCAGACAAGAATCAGGGCTAAGCTCACCTGCAGCCTTCATCCCACCCGCTCATTCATCCATTTCCACCCTCTCATGTGTTTTGTTCTACATGCCACCATGGTGACAATGAAATCGAAGAATACTCCCTGTCAACAAGAGTCTCAAAATAATTAGGCAAGTAGACAGTTACACTCAGTGGGCTGGCCTGTGAGATGAAGGAGTGCTAGGGACACCAGGAGCTCACTACCCGGACATGAGGGCCAGCACTGGGGGCAAGAGGGCAGGCAGGAGCGGGGGCCTGCGCTGATCACCTTCACACTAGTAATTTATTTTTTTGCAACAATTATCTGAATACAGCATAACTGAGGAAAATGTCTGAACTCTCAACTCAATCAGTCACCTTCCTTCTTCTATCAACAATGACTTCATAAAACCACTATGTTCAAAATAAAAGACAGCTAGATAGATAGGTAGATAGATAGATAAATAAATAGATCCAATATGTTCCTTTTCAATTCAACAGGTAATGACTTCAAAAGTCTTATGAGGAAACCAGAGACCAGATTTCATAAGAAATTAATATAAAAACCACAGTTTTAAAATACAAACATTGTGTTGCACAACCATGTCTATGTAGCTGTATGAAGACATTGACCAACTATCCCAAGCCTCACTGAATAATCCATTCGCCCCCACAAAGTATCACAACATCCTAGAAGTATGGATCATTGCAGATTCAGTTAAACAAAAGCCAGAGTCAGCATATGGATGTCAGAAAGTCAGAAAATAAGGAAGCATGCAGTAAAAAAAGAAAAGAAAAAAAACTTGCAAACTCACACATATCATGCTGCATTGTATTTAACTCTAGCTGCTGACATGCAGGTATAGTTTTCTGATACTGGAGCCCAAGAAAACTAGAGTAATATAAAATCTCTGTAAAATCAAAATAATCAAATCATGAAAAAATATGCTTATTTGCTTGTTATATAAAATTATAGTTAAGGGCATAGGAAAGAAATTCTAAAACTATATTGTGGCCTAAGTATAAAAAGGAGAAATATAAATTGCACCTTTGATTAGGCTTTGCAAAGGGATCTTTTTTTTTTTTTTTTTGAGAAACAATAATCTCCACATTTTAGATCCAACTTGCTAATGAGAGAAATCTGCACAGCAGAAATTCTGAGATGGTTTCACTTAGTCAATTAAGGAGTCATAAGTTAACCATCAACTCTGTAGCTTCTGATCTTAACATGAAACTATTTCTCATAAAAGATGTTTTTTGTTATAAGAAGCATCTTGCCAAAGTATTTGCATGCTACCAAACTCACAATCACAAAATTTTCTGCCTAACATCTCTTAAGATAGTTAAGCTAGATTTTCTTTGGTACTCAGCAAAAGTGAAACCATTATGAAGGTTATTTTCTAGTAAAGAAGTTCAGATGATTTATTTCTTAGGTAATTTTTGTGTTATGCCTACACTATGGCAGTTTGGTTTTGTATTTTTCTAAATTAAACTTTTTGAGATTTACCCACAACAAAAGTGTATTGGTTTTAATTTTCAATGACCATGTACATTTATATAACCATCCTAATTAAAATATAAACATTTTGGTCATTCCAAGTTCTATTATGCCCCATTTCAATCAATATTCCTCCAAACCCAATTTCAGGCAATCAACAATCTAGTTTTCGATCACTACAGGTAAGTTTTACTTACTCTGCAGTTTCACATTTTAGAACATTCCTGTTGCTATGTGTATAGCACTTCCTTCTTACTGTTCAATATTCCATTTTGCAAATGTTCCCATATTGGTTTATCAATTCACTTACTGTTGAGTGCTTTCAGTTGATGCTGTTAAATTAGGCTATGAATATTTATATAAATCTTTTTGTGGGCATTTTCAGTTTTTGCATAAGCATAGGACAGTAGAACTGTTGTGTAGAATTGTTGTTTAGGTTAATTGTAGAACTGTTGTGTATGTTAATTGTATGTTGAACTAAATAAGAAAATATCAGGGCAAAGCAGTTGTCCTATTTTACACTTCTATCAATGACATGAGACTTACAAGTGCTTCATGATCTAACCAACAGCTGCATTATCAGTCTTCAATTTTAGCTATTGAATCAATGTGTAATGGTATCTTACGATGCATTCTCACATTCATTTATAATTCTCTGACAAACCATGATAAATATCTTTTTGTGCGCTTAATGGCTATTATTTTATGATGAGTCTGTTTAAGTACGTATCTTGTTCTTTCCTTGTTGGATTATCTCATTGAGTTTTGTTAGAGTTCTTT